TTTGGTGAATTTTGTGGAACTAGTTAACATTGTAAGTTGGAGCCCTACTGTACTAGGTCTTGATCCAAGGAATTGGACCTATTTTCCCCCCTGAACTGAACCTGATTGCCTCCCTTTTCCTAAGTGCCATATGACCCCTATGGTTTAGCACTTCCTAAAGAATATTAACTTTTCACCATTTCATTTTAAGAAAGTCCTCATGTGAGAATACATACATGTAAACATATACACTCGCACCAACTTGTATGCAATGGAGAAATCACATCCCTCTTGGTAGGGTGAGTACAACTGCCTCATGAAACACCAAAGTATTTTGTAATGATACAGCATTACACACTGGCTGTATCATTTCTCTCGCATGCTGCTCCGAGCCCCTCGTTTGTGGCATGGAGTCCCCTTTGTGGGAGGTGGCTGGGTGCCAGTGAGAGGCTCTTGATCCAGTGGATTTTCATCCTCTTGGATCACACCCTGACCATCTCTCATTCCTCCACGCATGCAATGATCCCTATAGTGTTTGTGCCCCCTCACCCCCCCCATTGTAATATGAGTTCAGGTGTACAGTCACGTACGTTATTCTTGCATACAACTGCTATATACGAACCTTTGAATACAGCCACCATACATGAATGAACCCTGGCATATGGTCTCTATACAGTGATTCAACATAAATCATCAATTTTAAACACATACATTTGTGACAGTACCTTTGTGATAGACACCTTCAATATGGTATCATGCATAACACCTGCAGTATGTATATTACAAGACACCTGTATTATAGTAATTACTATGTATTTACAGGTCATTGCAAGACTAATACCCATGCCAGGACCCTGGTCTTGGCAAATGTTATACATATATGCATTCTATGACACCTGAAGTATACTTGTGATATACCCCCAATTCACTGCTTATCATGTATAATATGCATCTACATAAGAATATCCTCTAACACAATAAAAATTCACTCTGGCCGTTTCCCACTGTGACTGGGCGACCCCCCCCCCCAAAAAAAAAACAAAAAAAAACTCATTCATTCAATAGTTATACAGTGGTACCTCAGGATACGAACTTGAACAGTTGTGTAATTGTATTTTTGTGGGTCTGAAACAGATTAATCTACTTTACATTATTCCTTATGGGAACAAATTCGTTCAGCATTCGAACAGCCTTCTGGAATGAATTAGGTTCGTATCACGAGGTACCACTGTAATTTATATTTCCAAAGCACTACTGCTTAGTTTTCAATAATAATTCAAAGCATTAATTATAGTGGTTTAAAAAAGACATGTGAACAAACAGTAAGACAAATCAGAAAATGTTTCAGTTCTAGGACCTTAATCAAGACCAGAGCATTTTCTAATAAATATGTCCTAGTGTTTGCTCACCTGTCTTTCTAAACCAATTTGTGGGTATCAATTACCAAGGTTTATACTATTTAATTATACTGCATACTTTCCAAAATTTGTTAAAATAACTCCTGCAGCCAGTTAATAATACACACTGTTATTATCTCGTTTTAACCCTAAATGGGGAGGCATTCCTCGATGCTAGTGAAAGGCTCTTAATTCAAGAAATTGGATCTACCCTTCCCTTCCTAGGGTCAAACTTGATTGCCTCCCATTACCCAGGTGCTGTATGAACCCTTATTGGGTTCAGCTTTACTCATGAATATAACAATTACAGTAAATCCTCAACTTACAAACACATTGGAGACCTTCTGAATTGTGTATAATAATGATATTATACACAACTTTGCCAACTTGTCTATATTAAAGAGAAGCACAAAGCCCTTAAGGGTCATATATCACCTGGGAATGAGAGGGATTCAGGTTTGATCTATGCAGGGAGACAAATGCTTAAATTTCAACTTAATCATCACACCTTGTTAACACTGGCATTAATTTTTACAATGAATAATAACTCTTAGAAAAGTAATACAACCCATAAAAGATTTAAACGAAGAATCCTTCAACATCAAGGCAAGAATCCCCTTACCAATAATCTTGTCATTAGAAACTTACTAGTGTATACTGTAGTCAGCTCTTATAAAGCTCTAATATACAGTGGAACCTTGGTATGTGACCTTAATTCATTCCAGAAGGCTGTTTGAGTGCCACTCCGTTTTATCAAACAAGTTCTTCCCAACCAATTTTCTGTTTGGTTGGCTGTTATCACTAATCGTCGTAGGCCCCATGGTGACTTACTTATAAAAAAAACGCCAAAAAATGCAAAGAAACACGAAATAGCTTATAGCGAATTTTGGCAGGTCGTATTTGTTTGGTCGAGTAGGGAGCTGGTCATATACCGAGGTTCCACTGTATAGTGCAATTTCTTTTGTAAATGCAGCTGAAGTACATCCAAAACTGAAAAGCACATAAAAAGGTTTTTGTATCATATGCTTTTCAATCTTTTCAGTCACATTTACAAAAAAAATGGCAGTAAAGAAGCATTATAAGAACAATGATAATACATAGTCATATACTCACTATACTAATAAGCTGAGCTGTGTATACAGTTGGTACTTATACACACTTGTATTCCGACACACTGCACTGTCTGCCACTTATACCATCTGGGTATAAGCACCTTGTTCATAAATAACGAGATTCTATCTTATTCTACCCACAACTCTGACCTCAACCTGGATAAAGACTTTCAAGAATACGTAAAAAAAGTTTTACATTCTTTGGATAAGTGATTCCTGTGTCTGTACCATCATATAAGACTAACACATTTTTATCAACAAAAAGTTAAGTTATACTAACTGTCAAAACAAATTATTACACTTTCTTACATATTTATGGGCTGAGAATAAAAATATAATCAGTAAGAGTTAGATAACCAGAATTTTAAATGCTTACCAATTATACCAGAATTTTCAATGCTTACTAATTACACCAGAATTTTAAATTCTTACTAATTACACCATAATTTTCAATGCTTACTAACCACCCTTAATAAACGTGTACACAAAAACGCTGCTTCGGGATAAACTTGACTACATTAAGTTGTATACAGTATAATTCATACCAACTGAGAAACTGAATACTGTAACAAAAATAATTATTAATAATACAATACACATATAATAAACACATTCCCTTCTGCTGCAACCTTCATTCCAGTCAAAAGTACTCAGGTTGATATCTTAAAAATCATAATTTTTTAATGGCATGTTTGTGAACCCTTTATACTATGGGAGGGACCCAGCATGTACAGAATCTTTTTGGTGTTTCACATTTTCATTGGCTTCAAATTGAACCATTGTCTATTATATTCTAGCTGTGGATGGAACATAATGAACAATGGGTCACCCATGGGTGGAACAATGGCTCAATTGAAAGCCAACAAAAATGTGTAACACCAAAAATAGCTGCTGTATATGTGGAGCCCTCCTATAATGTTGCCAAAATAATGTTTCAAAGTATAAAACTATACTCTAAATCATTCCCCTGAGAAAACAAGTGAAACTTGTCCATTGTCCAGCAAATTACTCAATAAATATCTCCACGATATCAACCTAGCCAGCGGAGGAAGAGCAGCAACGCTACAAAGAACATCTTTACAGCCAGAGGCGCGCTCCGCTAAAGCTCCGGAGTCGCCATCAAGTTTTGCAAGACATGTGTAACCTATCACAGTTACGACATTCCAAATAATTTAGATTCAGTCGACCCTCACAGTGTCCCTGAACCATTGGTAATGCTCAGATATATATGTACAATACAAGTATTACTAACTACAGAAGAGGGAGGTGACAATCCTGCAATATTCAAACATTTCATAAATTTATCAGTACTGTAGCTCTTATTATGACCCATACACATTTTGAATAGGTAAAACTTGTGATTTTAGCTTAAATAGCAGCACTCTTCTTGCTGAATAAGACAAGCGAAAATTTGTGTGAGCAATTATTTCGCAAAAACCATTCTGAACCTAAAGAAAAAAAGTATATTTCATTGTGTCTGTTTATTATTAAATTATTGTAAACTTATCTAAAATATATTTAGTTGGATTAGGCTAAATTAAATTGAGTTTGTTATAATAAGATTAGGTAAGTTTTCTAACGTTCTTTTGGTACAAAATTATTAATTTTTACATTAACATAAATTAAAAAAATATATTTTTAAACATATAAGAGAAAATTTTAAAAAGGACTTAATTTTAAATGAGTTCTTACTAACTGACCAGTTTTACCTATTCAGCATAATATATATATATAATGTATGTATGTATGCATGCATGCACACACATTTAAGTCCTAAACTTGTAAGGGTCATTCAGCATATATAATATAAATCAATAAAATTCAACGTTTACTTCATCTCACCTTGAGATAATTTATTATAAATATTATAGACAGCTAATTTTCCACTTATATTTTGAAAAGACTCATACTAATGGAACTGGTATCATGTGTCCTTGCAACAACATTAATACTGAGTGATGTTACCCAGGAATGTGTTGCTTGTCATTAATAAGTAGTGCTGGTGGTGGTGTACTGGTCAGGACAGAGGACACGCATCTTCCGATATTTTGTCGAGTGACCCTTAAGTGGGTAAGCAACAGCCTGGTTGAATAGGTAATCACCAAGGAGGCCTGGTCTTAGAGTAGAATGTATGAGAAGAAACCTGGTAACCAGTCCTAGTACAGAATGTAAGTTATGAAACCTGGTAACCAGTCCTACTACAGAAAGTTATGAAGCCTGGTAACCAGTCCTAGTACAGAAAGTTAAAGAAGCCTGGTAACCAGTCCTAGTACAGAAAGTTATGAAGCCTGGTAACCAGTCCTAGTACAGAATGTAAGTTATGAAGCCTGGTAACCAGTCCTAGTACAGAAAGTTATGAAGCCTGGTAACCAGCCCTAGTACAGAAAGTTATGAAGCCTGGTAACCAGTCCTAGTACAGAATGTTAGTTATGAAGCCTGGTAACCAGTCCTAGTACAGAATGTTAGTTATGAAGCCTGGTAACCAGTCCTAGTACAGAATGTTATGAAGCCTGGTAACCAGTCCTAGTACAGAATGTAAGTTATGAAGCCTGGTAACCAGTCCTAGTACAGAATGTAAGTTATGAAGCCTGGTAACCAGCCCTAGTACAGAATGTTAGTTATGAAGCCTGGTAACCAGTCCTAGTACAGAAAGTTATGAAGCCTGGTAACCAGTCTTAGTACAGAATGTTAGTTATGAAGCCTGGTAACCAGTCTTAGTACAGAATGGTAATTAAGAAGCCTGGTAACCAGTCCTAGTACAGAATGTTAGTTATGAAGCCTGGTAACCAGTCCTAGTACAGAACGGTAATTAAGAAGCCTGGTAACCAGTCCTAGTACAGAATGGTAATTAAGAAGCCTGGTAACCAGTCCTAGTACAGAATGTCAGTTATGAAGCCTGGTAACCAGTCCTAGTACAGAATGGTAGTTAAGAAGCCTGGTAACCAGTCCTAGTACAGAATGGTAATTAAGAAGCCTGGTAACCAGTCCTAGTATAGAATGGCAGTTAAGAAGCCTGGTAACCAGTCCTAGTACAGAATGGTAATTAAGAAGCCTGGTAACCAGTCCTAGTACAGAATGGTAATTAAGAAGCCTGGTAACCAGTCCTAGTACAGAATGGTAATTAAGAAGCCTGGTAACCAGTCCTAGTACAGAATGGTAGTTAAGAAGCCTGGTAACCAGTCCTAGTGCAGAATGTTATTTAATAAGCCTGGTAACCAGTCCTAGTACAGAATGTTAGTTATGAAGCCTGGTAACCAGTCCTAGTACAGAATGTTAGTTATGAAGCCTGGTAACCAGTCCTAGTACAGAATGTTAGTTATGAAGCCTGGTAACCAGTCCATGACAGAATGTTAGTTATGAAGCCTGGTAACCAGTCCTAGTACAGAATGTTAGTTATGAAGCCTGGTAACCAGTCCTAGTACAGAATGTTAGTTATGAAGCCTGGTAACCAGTCCTAGTGCAGAATGTTAGTTAAGCCTGGTAACCAGTCCTAGTACAGAATGTTAGTTATGAAGCCTGGTAACCAGTCCTAGTACAGAATGTTAGTTATGAAGCCTGGTAACCAGTCCTAGTGCAGAATGTTAGTTAAGCCTGGTAACCAGTCCTAGTACAGAATGTTAGTTATGAAGCCTGGTTTAACCAGTCCTAGTACAGAATGTTAGTTATGAAGCCTGGTAACCAGTCCTAGTGCAGAATGTTAGTTAAGCCTGGTAACCAGTCCTAGTACAGAATGTTAGTTATGAAGCCTGGTAACCAGTCCTAGTGCAGAATGTTAGTTAAGCCTGGTAACTATCACAGGACTTCCTCTACCTCCTTACTGCAGTCACCTTTTACATCTCATTTAAAAAAAAAATGGAGGATGACTAAAGCATTGTGACATTTTGATTGAACGGACAACAATTTATCAATATCAGTGGTGTCTTTATCCAACAATTTACCAATATTAGTTTTGTCCTCAAAGTTATTAGAAAGTGATATTTTTTGCAAATATAACTGAAAATATAGGAGCAAGGGGCTAGTAACCCCTTCTCCTGTATATGTTACTAAATTGAAAAAGAGAAACATTAGTTTTTCTTTTTAGGTCATCCTGCCTCGGCAGGACACGGCCAGTTTGTTGAAAGATGAAGTAGAATTGAAAATATGTATGCAAGCTTGAATAGCATGTACTATGAAGGGCTTTTCATGTGCTTTTTCAATTCTTAATTCACCCTTTTTAATTACACTTTCAAAAAAACTCACAGTACAGAGGTGTATAAGGTCATCATACTTAATCAACATTGCTGATAATTTAAGCTTTTCAGACTATTTTCTTCTCACCACTAAAACTGCAATATTTTGACTAAAAATCCATTATTTTAGAGTCAAAAGTATACCTGGAGGTTGTTTGGGGGTCAACTCCCCCGTGGCCAGGTACATGACCAGGACTCAAGGTGGATCAGGGCCTCATCAACCAGGTTGTTACTGCTGGCCGCACACAAACCAAATGTCTCAGATTTTATCGTACTACTGTATAATGTAGCGTATGAACCCCCATGGTGACCATCACCATCACAGCCGACCAAGAAATCACACTATTGCAGCATTGTCATAACCTCTCCAATATCACATATATGTACAGTACAGGCATTCACTGCTAAATAATAACTTAATTAGCTAAATGATAAATCAGTTTCAAATGAGGAACTTCTATTTGTTTTATATTCTTTTCAATCTTTGTAAGAGGGAAGGAGGAGGATAAACGTCAGTTATGTATAATGCTGAATAAAAGCTTAATTGATATTAATAATCTATGTACTTGGCTCTTCAAGGTTTCTTGGCAAATACTACATTATCACTCACGCTCACAAGCACAGACTCAATCTCACACACTCACACAACTCACTCACTCTCTTACACACACACACAGGCGGGGCCAGGCGTTGTGACTCGAACCCTGCAATCACACACATGTGATTACATACATACAGTATCTAAGGTGAACTCCCATACTGTGCACACTTATGATGTTAGAAACTGCACTACCTGTAATATTGTAACTTCTGGTATGAAAATATGATTATATTCCTGACAACTTTAAAACAGCCAAAGTTATTTTAATTTCTCAACTCTTCAAAAACAATGGTTATTTCATCTATGCATTGTAGTTGTCACTGCCTACTGGCCTATGCTGGGTAGGCACTTATCAGATCCAACCTTTCTCAATGTATTTACAAAGCTAAAAGCTTAGGTAGCTTTAAAAATAGGTTTGAAAAAGTACATGATTGAGAAGGATTGGGTTTAAGGAGGACGTGCCTATTCTTGTATACTGGCTCCCTTACCTTCGTGTGTTGGTGTTACTAATTAATAGTCCAAGTTAGATCGAAACATTGTCATAGTTTGTTTCTCCTCTGTGTGGGTTATTTGTGTGTTACTATGGAACAGTAGGCCTGCTGCAGTACTCCTTTGTTCTCATGTTCTTATACTATCCAGTAGTTTAATATATGGTGGTGAGGCTCCAGGGAGCCCTGGTGGAAGTGCTTCATACAACTCTCTACAAGCGTCACTTACAAACATCACTAATAATACGCCACATTTCCTTAATAAGTTGTGCCAGTGGTTGCTATCGCTTGTTGACACCCAAGTGTGTGTTGTTAATGGCAGATATGACTTTGTATAAACATGTGTGCCAGTATCAAATACAACCACTAGCCTGCTGCTGTTGCTGTTACCACCACCCAACAGGTAAAAATAAGCCACATTTCCTTTCCAGACATACAGGACCCCATGGAAAGAAGTCACTTTGTCTGACTTTGTTGGGTTATCCTTTGTAATCTACACATATACTGCTGTGTATGATAATTTATGTAACCGTACTTATGTGTACCTATATCTGTACACACAAATGTTTTCACGACCAAGCTGCCCTTTTTTAAAAACTTTACGGAACAGGAGATTGGCGATTTTCATATTTTTTTTTTTTGTATATGTATGAGAAAAACAGAATTCTTCCTCCGTAAGCCATGCGTGTTGTAAGAGGCAACTAAAATGCCAGGAGCAAGGGGCTAGTAACCCCTTCTCCTCTATATATTACTAAATGTAAAAGGAGAAATTTTTTTTACCTTTTGGGCCACCCCGCCTTGGTGGGATATGGCCGGTGTGTTGAAAGAGAGAAAGATGTATGAGAAAAAGAAAGATGTGTGTATATATTTTTTTAAGATGCTGGCCATCTCCCACTGAGGCAGGGTGACCCAAAAAGGAAGAAACACTTCCACCATCATTCACACAATTGCTGTCTTGCCAGAGGTGCACAGATACAGCAATTTACATGCCCTTCTAAACAGCAAATATACCCACCTCTCCTTTTAGAACACAGGCACTGCACTTCCCACCTCCAGGACTCAAGTTTGCACCTGCACACACATGAATTCATTCATACATACACTTGTGCATGCACACATACAGACAGATTAATTGCAAGTATAAATGCCAGAGACAAAAATATATAACTTATCTTTTCACAAGCAGATATACACGTTTGTGCTTAACATAGCTAGCGGGACACGGTGACTAGATACAATAGCTGTTTCTAAACAAAATAATGGGCTTCCACAACCAAGTATGTATTGACAGTAAACACAATGATCTTCTGAAGCTGACCTGATGCACTGCTTGGCACTTCCAAAACCAAGCTGAGGTCACTGAGAATGAGGTTTTGATTTCTAAATACTGAGGTCACACAGGCATTGAAGAGTGATGTCACTGATAGTATTAATAGGGCCAGGGATGTCAATTTTGTATATCATAGGTCAAAATGAGCTACTCAGGTATGTAAATTTTGTATTCCATAGGTCAAAACAGCTAGCAGGAGGTGTAATGGTGAGACCTTGGACAATATAACAACAAGGAATAAATTCTGACTGATTATCTAGGATTTGTACTTTTACTGATGATTATTCAAATAAGTAAAAATCTAAGATTAAGAATTACTGAAAAATAAATTTTCAAGTGTCAGAACTTGAAGCCTAAAAGTTTTCAAAGTTACTTGAGCACAAGTTTTCTGTCAGTATATTCCACATGTTATATACTCATTTTGGCCACTCACAGGTGTAATTAATATATCTTTGCAAGCTAAAGCTATCAAAACTTGTTATGACCACAGTGGCAGAGTTTTCAAAATTGACTCAAAAAAATCTAAAGATATGAAATTTTGATGATTGTTACAAAAGTGACAGGTCTAAAACAAAAAGACGGACCAGGCAGGGATTGTACAAGTCCATGGGTTCAATCCCAACCTGTTCCCTGGTTTGTCTGCAATCGTGCTATAAATTCTCAAGTCGTGACAAGGCTACCGAGCAAGACAGTAAATACAGAGCTAAGATCGCTTCAGCCCATGCCTCCGTAAACCAGGAGACTGACCCTAAAACTCGTCTTATATTGACACACTGTTTAAGTTTAACTGCTATATGCCCTCTGAATATACAGACACTCTTCACTAAACAACCTACCTGGTTAACAACCTCACGGACTTACGACCAGCACTCCGATCAGTTAGTTGAAGTGGAAGATATTGAAGAATCTGTGGAATATGTCAAAAGGAGAGCTAACTAACTAAGATTTAATATAGTTGGAAGCACAGCATCACTTGGAAGAGGAAGAAGATAAGGAAAGAATGGACGAAGTACGGAACGGAACTCGGTTGTTAAGTGAGGAGCGCCTGTATATATCACTCATAATATTGGCTGTCAAATCATTCACAATATGATACACAAGATGTTCTTCAACATTCCATCTTGGTAAACTCCCATCATTGTCTTCTCAAAGAAATCTACTTAAAAATAAAAAACCTCAGAATATATTACCTTGAAATTCATATTATTACTAAATACATATTTGATACAGTTATGTATAATACAAAATGGTATCTATAATGATATATAATACTATTTTATACATTTAAACATAACTTTTATGCCTGTGTCACTTTTATACATAAACATTTACTCACAATAACTGGCATTAATGCTACTTTCACACATGACATTTGTCAGTCTCCATTAATCATATTCGATACATTTTTTAAACACACATTTCTACTAAATATTGTATTATTAAAACTACTACTACTACTACATACTTACTTGTTACTTACACTTAAATATCTTATTTAATTAAATAAATTCCATAAGTGTTATATGCATTTTTTTGCCTCTGTAAATAAATAAAATCTTATTGGAGAATATTCACATTTCTTTGCAAATTCATGTACATGAAGACATCTCAGTGACTCAACTGTTCATTCAGATCCATGGCATCATGTTTTTTCTGTTATTTTTCACAGAATTTCCACTTGTTTACCATACTGCCTCATGTCTTGTTTTATTCACCGTACTGCCTTATCTCAGTTTATTCACCATACTGCCTCATCTTGGTTTATTTGCCATACTGTCTCATGTCTTGGTTTATTCACCATACTGTCTCTTGTCTTGGTTTATTCGCCATACTGCCTCATCTCAGTTTGCCTGAATCTCTCTGTTTCCTCTCCTCATTCAGGTCACACTTCCCTCACGTGGCACTGGTCATCGGCCGTCTTCACGGGTCGGAGTTTCTCAGTCTCGGCAGGTCTGTACGCATTGATGTCGTACTTGTCCCTGTGGTACCTGCGCCAGTAGTGTAGGATGAGAGCCGCCACCAGCAGGAAGACCAGCACCAGAGGTATGATGATGAGGCACAGCTGTGTCCACTCCACTGGCAATGCTGATGAGATTAGATTCTTTATTTCACCAAAATACAATGTTTGTCCAGAGGTGAGTGACATTTAGGTATGCATGCATGAAGCCCCTTATTATGCAGAGCATTTTGGGCAGCCTTAAGACTAACTGAAGATTAATAAGGCAATGACTAATGGAGTGTTTTTATATATAGTCTCTTAGGTAGCTAGGTTGTAAATATAAATTTAGGAGTTAAAATGAAGACAAGATAATTGAATATTCTACTAGTACATTCTATATGGCTTTTATCAAGTTTAATTGTTTTAAGAATTACAAGTTTGGTTATGATTATAGGTAACGAGGATTCTAGCATATTAACATAATGTGGACAATGTCAATGTTTTAATGTTTGGGAGGATTACAGATATTGTAAATAAGAATGTACTCTTTTCCATATGTTTGTGGCAATCAGAATTTGGATATATAGTTTTCACATATTTAGGTGATGTTGGGATATGTTAGGGAAAGATGTTTTTTAATGGTAGTTTTTAAGATGATGGCAGATAGTGAGGCTCTGGAGATTTCCAGCAGAGTTCCAGATTTTGGGCCCTTTAATGTATGTTGAATTTTAGAGATTTAGCCGGACAGGGAGTCTGTCGTAGAGATTTTTGTATCAAGGATTATGTCTAACGGTCCTGTTACAACTATCAAGAAAGTGCTTCAAGTCGGGATTAATATTAGAATTTATTGTTCTGTATATGTAAGAGGCATAACAGTAAGAGTGAAAGTTTTGTATATTGAGTAGGTTTAGGTCTCAGAAGAGCAGTGGGATGTGTTGTCTAGCAGTGGACTGAGTGATCATTCATACTGTGGCTTTCTGCTGAGTTATTATTGGCTTGAGGTGATTTGCTGTTGTGGATCCCCAGGCACAAATAGCATAGGTGAAGTAGGGGTAGATTAGTGAATAGTACAGTGTAAGTATTGCTGTTTGTGGTACATACGTAATAACATGTTTGAGAGGATGCCAACCGTTTTGGATACCTGTTTTGGTTATGTGTTGGATGTGGGTGTTGAATTTCAGGTTGCTACAAAGGTGCAGACCCAGAAATTTTCCCTCGTTATGTTTAGCAATAAAAGCATTGTTAATCATAATGTTTAGTTAATTGCATTTGTGTTCTTTTGCCTAACAGGTAGAAGGAAAAAAAAAGTTAAAAAATGTAAATTAGAAAAAGTCCTAGACTTATAAACATGTTGAGAATCTTCTGTATTTTGTACATCATTACTGTTTATAATTTTATTATACACAAGTATTGTGTATAATAATATAATATCATTATATTATTATACACAATACTTCCTGTATTATGAATATTACACACAATTCTGGTCCCCAATGTGTTTGTAAGTCAAGGACTTACTGTACAGTACGGACTTACTCTGCACTGCGCTCTTTGTTGTGCCGTCGCTTGCACCTTCACTGGACGCTCGGCGATAGGTGAGGTCGTCAGGAGTCGTGTCTGAGTGGTAGTGTGTGGCCGGGAGGTGGTCGAGAGGCTCCCAGGATATGCTTGGCTCCTCATTGTGGCTGGATCGGCCGTCGGTCGCCAAGTCTGAGGAATGGATGTAGCGTAAGTTGTGGTCTGGATACCAATGACATACTACTGACAGCAGTAAAGAAACAATTAACATTGTAGAACACTGCTTTCACCAGGACAGTGTTTCACTCTGTGAAGAGCTTTATCAAGTCATGTTTCACTCTGTGCAGAGCTCTATCAAGTCACGACTCGATAAAGATCTACAAAAAAGCCAAATATTGTCCTCATAAAACACCATTCTAATTCACATCTTTTTCCCCACTAAATCGTGGCAACAAAATTTGCAACGTCTCCGCAATTACCCTCACCGTGCATACTTTATCTTGGCAACATTTCGAAGAAACTCTGATGAATATAACCAGACATCTTGATACATAACTGGTAGTTTAAATATGAACAAAAAAAAAAAAAAAAAAAAAAAAAAAAAATTTTTTTAGCTAAAATTCTTATATATTATATATATATATATATATAATATATATATATATATAATATATATATATATATATATATATAATATATATATATTATATATATATTAATATATATATTAATATATATATTTAATATATTTAACCCATAAACGGTCCAAACGTATATAAGCATTCTTATCGCTAGCGCCCCAAATGTAAATATATGTTTTTATTTTTCCTAGGTAGTAGGTTGGTAGACAGCAACTGCCCAGGGAGGTACTACTGTCCTGCCAAGTGAGTGTAAAACAGAAGCCTGTAATTGTTTTACATGATGGTAGGATTGCTGGTGTCTTTTTTTCTGTCTCGTACACATGCAAGATTTCAGGTATGTCTTGCTACTTCTACTTACACTTAGGTCACACTACACATACATGTACAAGCATATATATACACACCCCTTTGGGTTTTCTTCTATTTTCTTTCTAGTTCTTGTTCTTGTTTATTTCCTCTTACCTCCATGGGGAAGTGGAACAGAATTCTTCCTCCGTAAGCCATGCGTGTTGTAAGAGGCGACTAAAATGCCGGGAGCAAGGGGCTAGTAACCTCTTCTCCTGTATATATTACTAAATGCAAAAGGAGAAACTTTCGTTTTTCCTTTTGGGCCACCCCGCCTCGGTGGGATATGGCCGGTGTGTTGAAAGAAAGATATATATATATATATATATATCCTAGGTAGTAGGTTGATTGACAGCAACCGCCCAGGGAGGTACTACCGTCCTGCCAAGTGAGTGTAAAACAGAAGCCTGTAATTGTTTTACATGATGGTAGGATTGCTGGTGTCTTTTTTTCTGTCTCACAAACATGCAAGATTTCAGGTACATCTTGCTACTTCTACTTGCACTTAGGGCACACTACACATACATGTACAAGCATATATATACATACCCTTCTGAGTTTTCTATTTTCTTTCTAGTTCTTGTTCTTGTTTATTTCCTCTTATCTCCATGGGGAAGTGGAACAGAATTCTTCCTCCGTAAGCCATGCGTGTTGTAAGAGGCAACTAAAATGCTGGGAGAAAGGGGCTAGTAACCCCTTCTCCCGTATAAATTACTAAATTTAAAAAGAGAAACTTTTGTTTTTCTTTTTGGGCCACCCTGCCTCGGTGGGATACGGCCAGTTTGTTGAAAGAAGAAGAATATATATATATATATATATATATATATATATATATATATATATATATATATATATATAATATATATATATATATATATTATATATATATATATATGAAAGAAGAAGAATATATATATATATATATATATATATATATATATATATATATATATATATATATATATATATATATATATATATATATATATATATATATATATATATATATATATGAGGTCATTTTAACCCTTTGAGGGTCGACAGGCCCTCTCCGAACTCGTTCTCAGGGTCGGCCAAATTTAAAAAAAAAAAAAAATTCTCTAATGAAAAGATAGAGAATCTTTTCCCGATCATAAGGACACCAAAAGTTTGAAATTTGATGGAAAACTTACGGAATTATGCTCTCGCGAAGTTAGCGGTCTCGGGATATTTACGCATCGGCGATTTTGCCCACTTTGAGCCCCATTTTCGGCCAATTGCACTGTACTAGTCGACAAAAAACATGAATATTTCGCTAGAACTCCATTTTTCTATCGAATGGGTGCCCAAAAAACCACCCATTTATGAAATGCAACTATCCAGTACAGTGGTCAAAAATTTTGCAATTTTGCCAATTTCATACAAATTTCAAAAAGATGCCAATTTCCGAATAGGGGCCAGAATAAACAAGAAAGACATTCCTGGCACTAAAATGACACTTCCTCTGGTCATTAGTCAAAGTCTCAAGGCCCCTCTTATATTCTTTTGCTTTCCACTTTGAATTTTTATTCTCACAAAAAATATAAGATTTACTGTTTTTGCAGACTACTGCATTAGTGTAAAAATGGTATAAAAAATTAATTGGCGCACTTGTGAAAGAATATTAGACTCACCAGTTACGTGTATTGGACCACTGGCACGATTTGTTTACTTTTGAAATTTGGTAAAAATCGAACATTTCTGCTACTTTGAGCTCAATTTCAAGGTATCTTTCATTGTAAAACCAGTCAAAATCATCTCAATTTCTGTAATATGTCTTCCATTCTATAAAATGAGACCAAGAAAACTAGAATACAACAATAAATACCATACAAAAATACAGTGCAAAGTCGCTGTTTTATTCCAAAAAAACGGTCAAAGTTTTTTTTTCTCATTATGCACTGTGTGCTGCAGGATTTTTTTTAGACTGTGCACACTGACCACATAGACCCATTCTTTCATATGAAGGCCTACCAGCTTTCTCCCACTAGATTTGAGGGCGCTAGAATTTAGGCGTACTAGTACATCAAAAACCCTGAGTCGTAAGCCGTACTAGTACGTCCGAAACCCTCAAAGGGTTAAATATATTAAATATTAGTTAAAATAAATGATATACATTTTTTGGGGGTTACATTTTTATATGCTTTTAAAAAGCACACATTAAAAATTGTAGTAACTATTTATGTTATCATTTTAGGATATACATACACGTGCACACGGGGCCAGGAGCTATGACTCGACCCCTGCAACCACATAAAGGTGAGTACACACAGTAAAGCCTTAGTTTTTTTGTAGATAAATATGACAAACAAAAGTACAAAATAATTTTGCATGGCAGTTTGAATCCTATCTTTCTGCTTGTTATTAGGTGACAGGACACCAGTGCAACCAATGCAACATTTTATTGTGGCAACGTTTTGCTCTCCTGGAGCTTCATCAAACCACTACAAAGCTCCTGGAGGTCAAAACATTGCCACAATAAAATGTCACATTACTTGCATGTGTCCTTCTGCCTAACATATTGTGTGTAGTTCTACCATTATTACCCATCAGATCATTCTTACTATCTTGTATATAATGGAATAATACAACAAAGCTTAAGTGTATAGAACTGTAGCTTCACTTGTATACTGTTACCACAACTGATAGTTGTTTATACAAGGTATTTATATATTTTATCACAATTCATAGCTGTTTATACAGGGTACTTTTATATTTCCATTACCTCATGCTCTACTTACAAGCAGTATTACCTTCCCAGCCGTACACTTTTTTCTTTTTTAAGCATTTGTAGTTTTAGTCTTAAGTCTGCTGGAGATTCCATGCATTTGGTGGACTTTCCATTACATCATAATGATTGTGAATGAATTTCTTTGGAAATCGAGTATCTGTGTTGCAAGGAGAGTGAGTCCAGAATGAGTGACACAGTGGCTCAGGTGACATGAGGATTCTGGAGTCCCTGTATCACATCTTACCATACCTAACACCACAAGACTTGAAAAAGCAATAAACGATATGCCCATGCACTCTGCCCAAGGCCCAGACTTGTGGAACTCCATGTTCATCAAAAACTGCAACGAACCCTTTTCACATGCCTTAAGTATTCTATGGAGAAGAAACATGGACACAGGGGTCATCCCAAACTCACTAAAAACAACAGATATAGCCCCACTCCACAAAGGTGGCAGTACAGCAATTGCAAAGAATTACAGGCCGATAGCACTAATGTCTCACATAAACCATACCACGGACGGGGATAGAACCTGGGATCAGAAAGTCTCAAAACTCCAGACCGTCGCGTTAGCCACTGAACCAGCTAGCCACAATAAGATTCATCCAACTAGGTATATTTCTACACCATAGGAAGGTTAGCATAGGCACCACTGTGACCACAAATGCAAGTTTTTACAGACGAATCTCCAGCTAGCGTGGCCGCAATGAACTCTAGCTTAAGTCCTCTCAAAGCCGTCAACATGACTCACATAATCGTAATGACATGATTGTGGCTAGCTGGTCCAGTGGCTAACGCAACGGTCTGGGGTTTTGAGACTCTCTGATCACGGGTTCTATCCTCGTCCGTGGTATGGTTTGTTTGCAATCGTGTCATTATGATTTCGTGAGTCTCACATAATAAAAATCTTTGAAAGGGTTCACTCACTTAGATACCCATCAGTTGCACAACCCAAGGTAGCATTGGTTTAGGGTAGGTCACTCCTCCCTTTCACAACTACTGGACCACAATGACAAGGTCTTGGATGCCCTGGAGGACAAATAAAATGCAAATATAATATACATAGATTTTGTGAAAGCCTTTGACAAGTGCGACCATGGTGTAATAGTGCACAAAATGCGTGATAAAAGAATAAGAGGAAAAATGGGTAGATGGATCTATAACTTCCTAAAAAACAGAACACAAAGACTAATAGTAAACAGTGAAGTCAGAGCCAGCTATAGTGAAAAGCTCTGTTCCACAAGGCACAGTATTCACTCCCATCTTGTTCCTAATCCTTATATCTGACATAGACAGAGAAGTAAGCCACAGCACCGTGTCCACCTCTGCAGATGAGACCAGAATTTGAATGATAGTGTCACCCATTTAAGACACTGTAAATCTCCAAGCAGACATCAACCAAATCTTTAATTGGGCCACAGAAAACAATACGAAGTTCAATGAAGACAAATTTCAAC